AAGAATTTGGGAATTTGAAAATTTGGGAATTTGGGAATTTGGGAATTTGAAAATTTGAAAATTTAAGAATTTGAGAGTTTGAGAATTTGAGAATTTGAGAATTTGAGAATTTTGACGTTATATTGCTACCAATATGTATCCACAAAGCCCAGTTCTGTTTGAATTGCGATATTACTGATAGTATTAATATAAAGTTATATAAAGTTCAAATTTGGAAGTTTGGAAACTTAAAAATTGAAGTATTTGCAAATTTGTGAATTTATTTTCTAATCTTGGAATTTTCTAATTTGAGGATTTGTAGATTAGAGCATTTACATATGGTTTATAATTAAAAATTTTTAATTTGAAAATCTGCAGACCTAGAAACATAAAAATCTGAAAATTTTCTCTACTATAAATTTAAATATTAAGCAATTTATGCTTTACGAATAAACAAATTTCTCAATTTTTCAGCGAAGATTAATAAAACGCTTTCGATCACACAGTGTCAGTTACAGAATACCCGATACATTTTACAGAATTTTCACCGGCCAAGACCATGACATGGTGCACATAGGATTGATTCGGTTCGATTTGTAAAAGCTTTCCAGCAGTCGTAAAAGTACTAGGCACTTTATTTTCGTGTAATCTCAGTTCGTTGTGACTAGCCACTCAGTCAAGTTATCAGTCTTCACAGTAGTTTTCCGAGTTCATTTCTACGAGTTGAAAGTTTCAATCCAGCTATAGAATAGAATAAAGGATTATCGCTTTCGAGAAGTTCGAGTTTTACCAAATAATTTAATACAACCTCTGTCTGTCAGCTCGAGGCTGCAGACTGCGATCTGACAATTACATATTATCAAGAGCGACGGAAGCTGCTGTAAATAAGATAAATCAGAAAAATGACATTATTCCTTTGGACTCTTCTAGACATTATTTCTTTAGACCCTTGTGAAGTTTGCAACTTAATTTCGGCACGCTTGCAAATCTGGTAAAAATTAAATTTTCATCCTTTCTTTTCCTTTCTTAAATTAGTTTCTTAAATTAGTTTATTTGTGGCACTTCTCTTGAAATTTTTGAGATACAGAATTACCAGGTGTATCGGTTAGTAATTCTTAATTTTTTTTTTAAGGAAATAATTTAAGGTACTTTATTCAAAGTACCATCGCCAACTATTTTATCATTTTCTCTTCAAATTGTACTTTCTCCAAAAAATTGTTGACACGTTTACAGCCGCGAAATCCCTGATGTTCTTATTACTTTGTTATTATCTTATCTTTGTTTGTTAACTGCTTTTTTATCCACACATACACGTCCTCACTGGAGAAGTATGTAAGTCATTAATGACAAGTGGTAGTTTGAAAGAGCCAAGTCTAATGAGTATGGCGGATTCAAGAGTTTTTAAGCAAGTACAGAAATTGTGCTTCTAACCGTTTAACTACGTTTGATGTAACGTTGTCATCTTGCAAAATTGCTTTTCCGCGTCTTCTAGTTCAATCTGGACACGTCTCGATCAATACATTCTTCAAACTGATTACTTGTTGACGGTAGAGATCAGTATTAACCGTTTTCATGTGGTTTCATGATACACAACACCCTGATCCCACCAAATGCATAGCATTGTCCTCCTTCTGAAGTAATTCAGTTTTGCGGTTAATGCTGATGATTGCCTTATATCGACCCACGACTTGTTGCATTGTAGGTTTCCGAAATAGAAAGAAAACATATCGCGTTAGGACATGGTCATCGTAATTTCCACAAGACGACGGCTTGTATTTGAGCACACTGAATTCATTAACTTTCATTAACACTAGGTTTACGGACATTCCTTATATACCTATCTCTACGGACACGCGTCAATTTGACGCATGGACGAATACATATATTTAAAGAAAAACAACCACTTAGAATTATGCTCTTTTTTTAAATTAAAGCTTGAGATCTCTACTTTAAGACCCTGTAGTTTGATTTTAGATGTGACGCATCCCTACCACAATAACACCGTAAATGTGAGGTCATGTTTGTAACATTGAAAATTACAGTTTAACGAAATGCATGGACTTGCCACATTTTTTTTTTGGTGATACTGTTAACTGTTTAATGGGTAAATTAAGAACGATTGAAAGGATAATACTATACCGATTAAACGATATTTGGCTACGCTTTTGATGCCGGAACCCGATATTTGAATAGCGTGTCGATTTCTGGTATCGGGTTGTTCATCATTAGAGAATTCTATGCACCAACCAATTTTCGGATTATACTATTATTGAATGGCGAATATCCAATTTCCGGCCACTTCTAAAAGCTTCGTGGGGAGTTACGAGAGAATATTCTATGCGATAGCCCTTTGGTAACAAGTTCAGTATCGTGCCAATGTACATTCACACCCACGTATGCACGTCATGTGATAAAAGGACTTTTCAATCGCTTTGTTCTGAAGACTTGAGTTGTGGAATTTTTTCATGAAATGTGCTGTCGATGGTAGAAAAATGTGACATTTGCTGAGTTCCTTTTAGATACACTGAGCTCAACAAAAGGGTGTACTTCCTGACATTCGTAACTTTATAGTACAACAAATCGATACGTCTGTTGCTATTTTGAAGTACCATTTGTAACCAGATATTGACGGCTGTTACTGCTTGTACTACTGAATATTGTTGTTCCTTTTACTTTTTAAAAGTTAAAAGGTAATCCCATACCAATCCCATTATTATCAAATCATGTTAAGATTTCCATGTTTAAAAATCCATCATATAATGTGTAACAAAACTAAGCTTGAAGAAGTAAATCAATAAAGACAATCAATTTTACCAGTAATAAATAACTATACACGGTGTTTCACGCAACTGTATCATGTTATCTCGTTACCAGTGTCGATACAGGAAAATGTCACTGGAGAAAGATGAATATACCCGTGGAAGCAAGATTTTTTAGAAGTTTAGTGGTGCGTGTGCATTCTACAATTGCATTGTTTTCTTAAACGGAAATACGTTATTTTTTACCCAGTTGGATTTATTTCGCAATTCTACGTGAAAAACTACTGGGGTACAATAGTAAAGAAATTATTTCAGGTATTCTGAGAAAATATCGTTGTTACTTTACAGCAGGTGAAAATGAATTTACTTTACAGCAGGTGAAAATGAATTTACTTTACAGCAGTTGAAAATGAATTTGCTTTACAGCAGTTGAAAATGAATTTGCTTTATGACCGTTGAAAGTGCATTCGCTTTATAACAGTTGAAAATTTGATAAAGTAAGAGTTATCTCAATTTTCAGATAATTGTTTCAACATACACTGAAGTGTGGTTAGTTTATATACTTCAATAACCTTTTTCATTACAACCTTCATAATTTAAAAAGGATTAATAAAGAAAATTTTCATTAATTTCCTTTTTATTGCTATCAGTTTTTATGGACATCTTGAAACGAGATTTGTATAGCGCTAATGAGAAATTAATTGATCATTTTCTGTATCAGCTTCGAGTGTTTTTATTAACGAACTCTATTAGAATCTAAATGAAACACAAATGAACTGCTTTCAAAGTAATTCAATTACCTTAATCGCACCTAGAACGTCTTCGATATTATTTATTAGCATCTAAATGAAATATTATTGAACTATTCTGAAATTGACGTAGCTCCTTTAATTAAACTGGGAACATAATATAAGATTCTGCTTTGTTCATAATATGGGATTTTTATTGTATATTACCCTTTTATTTATAAAATGCTTATAATACATTCATGAGGCATTTATATTTATAAAATATTTATATTAAATTTATATTTATGAGGCACATATTTATCCGAAATCTGATGAAAGCGAAAATTAAATCATTCGTGTTTTATTGTACAAGGTGTTTCATTATTTTATATTACAGACGTGTTTTTTAATGATACGCAAAAATGTCAGAAGAACTGAATTATTTTACTTCGAAGTATGATAATCTTTTTTTTAATGCCATATTTTCCGAAATTTCAAATTATTATTATTATTAATTAGTACTATCATTAGCATTTCCTAAAACAAGATTGCAAGTTTGCATTGTCATGATATAATAGTTGAGATCATATTTAGTGCTAATCATATTATTAATAACCTGGCACAAAATATGAATTCTTGTTGCAGGTTGGTTCTCGTACAATACTCGCATGATTGTTTTCACTGTTCTTCGCAGAGACTATAAAATCTGATGATCTCATGGGTCTACCTATGCATCTTCCCTGTCCAATCCATCCTCCATAACATTTACTAAAGTCTAATCAATTCGAAACAATGATGTGTAGCTGTACCTTCGAAGACATCATAAAAGTAATAAATGCTATCGTATATTAACACTGCTAAAAGATTATTATCCCTGGTAACGTTCTGCAATAATGTTTCTTAACTTCTTTAACCCATTTCCTGTTCAAGTATTAAAGTAACTTACAATCCACCTGTGAAGCAAAAACCCTTTGCGATCGTATTAAATTTGAACATGGCTGTCGTACAATCGGAAATAATTGTTCACATTTTTCTTCCCAATTCCCAAATGTATGGAATCTTAGAATTATGGAATTTCGGATTTTGGAAATGTATAAAATATAGTAATCCTTAAAATTACAATTTCTTAAAATAAAAAATTCTAAAATATACCAATCTTCAGCAATCAGCAATTGCAAACTCAAATCTAAAAACACCCCAAAACATAAATTTTCAAATTTAAAAATTTCCAAGATCACAAATTCTCGAACTATAAAATGTATGGAATGTACTCGATGATCGTCTGGACGCGTGTCACCGAAGGGTACATATTGAACATTTGTAGAGGGTATATAAACTTGGTGAGCTTGTGATGCTTTTCATATATCTTTCGCTTAGAATGAATCATTTACGAAGTGCGATCATTAAGTTCCGCGACTGGTCCCGTATATGCAGATAAAGTCACGTGTTTCAAATTTGGCTACTATCCCCTTCAAAGTAATCCCCTTGTGCAGCTATGCACCAATCCCAGAGTCTCTGCAATTTTTGGAAAGCTTCCTAGAAGTCCTCTTGTTGAGGCGTGTCAAGCACCTGCTGCGATTCGCGTTGAATCTCGTCCACCGTGTCAAATCGGCGACCCTTGAGCTTTAATTTCATTTTGGGAAACAAAAAGAACAGGGTTCCAAATCTGATGAATACAGAGGGTGAGGAAGGACGACAATTTTCCATATTTCTTTTTTTTTTATGTCCCTCTGTTCCAATTTGAAGTCCATCGTAATTTCGCAAAGGAGAGCGTGCATATGCTACCGTAAACTTCTATAACACAGGATTCAACGAAGATATCGCGTTCAAACTTCGTGTCATATGTCTCGAAGATCTTATGTTCTGCGAGCGTATGTCAATCGTGTCATTCGTTTGGTCACAGCAGACACAATCCCGGAACGTAATGATCGCACCTCGTATGCTAGCCCCGTATTTTAATCGCTGTCGAACATTTAAGCTCTTAAGACGTAATAATACTATTTCCAGTAATTCTGATTCAATGAATGTGTTTTGCAGTCGATAGAACAGAATCCACTGGGACCGTGAGAAACTCGACGTACGACAAGGATGATTCAGGCACAACTGTTGTAGTGAATTCATGTGGCGCATCCTCTAGATTAAGACGAGGATTTTCCTCTTCACATGGATACTTCCATGGCGCTTCGCAGGGAATATCGTCTAAGGTGAGGAAACTTATTTTTCACACGTTAACTCATGATTGATTGTGATTGGTGACTAGGACAGTCAATTTTAAAAGACAGGAAGAAAGTAAACGACGTTCCAAATACATACAGAAATTACATTAATGATTTATGGTAAAAATTTTTAAATTTGAAAGCCGAAACTGTTTTACGTCAGAATATTTTTAGCGTGAATTTATTAATAGAAGGCTAAGATTTACTTATGTATTCATATAGTTTACCTTGTATTTTATGAAATGAAATTTTCGATTGATGAAAATTATTGAAGTCTTTGCTACGAAATTGTTTAAACATATTTGTGGTAGTAGAAATGTAGAAATCTGTATTAACAGGGCTTTTATAGCTAATTACAATCCTTCTTATTAGTGTAAATTTAATTTAATTTTCGAATTCGAAATGCATTAAAATGACGCGTTCCGTAAACCTTGAAGTTTCAAGAAGAAAAATTTTCTGAACCGTATTATCCATTTTTTCGATGAGATCCCTAATTTGTATAATAAATTATCTTATATTCGCATATCATTGTACATTTAGCTTATAGATTTGAAGCTACACTATAAACAAAGCAACCGTATTTAACTGTATTTTAAATTACGTACAAATTACAAAACCATAATTTTGTTGCAAATAAGTGATTTTATTGTAAAATGTTGCTCCCGCAAATACGTTTCTTGTTTGCTAAATTCATTTATTATTTCGAAGTAAACAATTTTATTACCGTTATAGTTATAGCAAATAACGATAGGAAGTATAATTTAGTCGTTAATTTAATCGTTCGGTAAGCAACACGTATTTTCCAATACCCAAATAGGAGGTCATCAATTGATGATGCTGCAAACGTAGCCGTATGCGAATTGGTGCTACAGAATTTCAAACAATAAAGGTCAATTTATACTAGAACGTAATTTCCGACTCGTGGTTTCCTTCCTTCTATATTCGTTCTCCTAATATATGATCGAGTAGCAAAATTTTCGATAATTCGATGCAACACGGTGAAGGAAGACTAATATGAAGACGTTTTTCTAACATATCGTACATTTAGCCTAAGTAAAAAATATTTCAAAATTTAGCATTTACAGTTTTGAAATATGTATTAAATAAATGACGTATGCATTGCTACTTATTTATATTATTGTTTAAAGGGTAGCAATTTTTGAATATCAACAATGTTTTATAAATTCCCCTAATGCATTTTAGCTTATATAATTGTTACATATACAATTATTATTCAACGTATACAGTTATTTAGTTATTAGGTATACAAATAATTACAACTTTATTAGGCTTATTTAACTATTTTATGACTTTGTTTGGTTCTTTAAATATTTCATAATTTCTTCTTTTATAAGGTTAAAGCTTTTATAAGCTTACTCGATGTAGTTAATTCTTTTACAAACTTGTCCGGTTTATTCTACAACCTTATTCGGTTTATTTAATTATTTTACAACTTTATTTATCTTATTTATTTTTTTTATAATTTCATTCGATATATTCAATTATTTTACGATCTTCTATTAATTTATTTAATTATTTTATAATTTTATTCAATTTATTTCACCATTTTATTCTAACTCTACCGTTAATATTTCGTTCTCGACTCATGAAAGACATTCGAATGAACTTTTTAAGGGCCTATTACTATCTACGACAAATTAGATCTTTCAAACTCCGAAGAATCTCTCGCAAATCGGAGGTAAAGGCTTTCTTTCGAAAGAAATCTCTCCTAAGAGAACAGTCCAAACGGATTCCGTCGGTTCACATATTTCAAGCTAACAACGACCTTCTTTTTTCGGTAAACCTTATTTTATTTCAACAGAAACAGAGAATGCCCTAAGCTGGAATGATCCGCAATTTATCACTACATATCTTCGTGTGATCTCTGTTTCTTCTCTTCGATGATGATAAAGTATATGAATTGATTTTGTACATACTTTTTTAAGTGAATTCATATTATTGGCATTTTAAAGTGCTTTTCAATTTACTGGACTCTGTGATAATATTTCAAATAAGTTTTGAACAAAAAGTAATTTTTCTCATAATTAACATTTTAATATGTAACAAACATACTTACGACCAAAAACAATCTTTCAATATTGGAGGATATAGTTCGATGCTATTTTCGTCTTCTGATTTTATTTGCACATTTAATATTTTATTCGACAAGATAAAGCTTTCAAAATCTAATAGAATTTTTCTATTATTCATATAAAAATTTTTATTAACAGAAACTGTTTTCAACATTTCACTTCATTCATTAATTATTATCCTTATCTTATTTTCGAAAATCACTGCTATTTGAAAAACTCGTCTGAAAATTTTCCAGCGTTAAAAACATAACTTTGGATTATATTAATGAAGGTCAATTTCTTGAAATATTTATAGCATACATGTAAGACTCATTCGTAAACTTTTATCAGTAACTTTCAATCAATGTTTCTGATATTAAATAGTAACAAAGAAATTGAAAGATTGGAAGGATCAGACAATGAAAATGAACTTTTTCTCTACTTTAGGCGACTACAATCCGTCGTTAAACATTCACTGAGTACGATGAACGATTACAGTCGTCCAATCTCCGAAAGATTACATTTTAAAATTGTACGAATGAAAATAAAAAATACGTGCTGCAGAATATTTTTAATTCCAAATATTTTCTGAATAAAATTATTTTTGTTCTAATATTTTCATTTCGCACGAAGACATTTGTCAAATAGTTCCTCAATACCTAACCAGTCATTTTCAGCTTTTCGTTTGGAGGATTTCCACTGGTTTCCAATTGGATTGATCAGTGGTATAGCACGAATTCTTCCGCTATTTCCTCTAGGTACCCTCGTAATCCGGTCGTTGTTTTATCAGAGATCCTCAACTACTTTTTTAGTTTGAAAAAAATTCTGATCTTTAGAGACAAGTTTACATGACGATTACTACGCTTACTACGGTCCGGAAAATATGGTGCCCTAAAACAGTTTAGGTTTTTCCCGTCATTATCTGTTCCATAATCGGTTTGAGTTCTAACTTTACAATACTACGACGCTAGACAGAGTTTGGATGGTTACGCAGCATTGTGCTCCTGTATCCAAATAAACGTGAACCTCTTCTCCAACGATATCGGTGGTGATAGTAAGCCGTAGTCCTGGCTGTACCATCATGTTGATAGAGCAGAAGCTTTCGGGGGTGTTATTTGCTTAACATTGCAATACGGGTATTTGCTTCTTACGAATCCAATTTTACCGTAGCATTTCAATGATGGTCAAGCAGACCCATTATTTGCATCCATCTTTAGATGTTCGTTCTTGGGTTTTGGAGCCAGGAATTTTGTTCGCGCGTTGGGCAAAATATTAACTTTTATAGCTGTTTTCGAAGATTGTAAATCTTCGTCGACCCTTGGCGTTTCCACAACTTGTTACAGTAGTGGAATTATATGTAGAATTATTATTGTAGAGTAGAATTTATAGAGTGGCTCAGAGTCCTCCACACTGGTGTGCCCAGGTCAATGAAGGATGTAGATCATCATTCCACTAGTAGTAATGATTGTTGTATGTTGAAGTCGTTGATAGTGACAAAGTTAATGTAAAACTGACAAAAGTAAGTATGTTTCAACGAAGCTAATCTAAGACTAACTAGTCGCCTCGAAACAGCCAGAAAAGAAAGCAATGGAGGAAGTTCAGGACGTGAAGGCGTTACCAAAAAGGACCAATCAGGACAGATTGTTATTTGTGAAAAAATACTGATTGGTGAGATGGTTCCGCGAATGAGATTGTAAGATTTTTAGCCTTCACTCCAAAGTTGTAAATAACGTTTTGTTAATAAGGTGACCCAAACAGTTAAGTGATTTGAGTCCTTCAAAAGAACTAAGTAATGGGACACATTGCGAGACTGCTGAATGACCGAGTCAGAGTGCCTTGGCCCGCCGAGTACGCAAGGATTTTCGTAAACATTGCACACAGCAAGGGTGCACAGTTTAGGACTATGGACATAAACAGGACCATGGAAATAAACATTGCACACCGCAGGGGTGCACAGTTTAGGACCATGGAAATAAACTTCTTTAAGGAAAGATATATTGGCGTTAGAAAGATGTGCTTTTCTGGCCTGTTAGAAGGCCATTGTCAATGGTTAAGAACGTCAAGTTGTGGAGACGTACATGTGGTCTTAAATATCCATTTAAAAATGCAAGAAAATGAAACGTTTTTGGGCTTAACAAAATACCCATAAATATTACACTACTTATATTCCGAGCGACTCGGAACAATTTTCTGTGTCGACAATCGAACGTAGTATAACAAAATTTTCGGCAGATTCCGCAATGCTGTTGGTCTTTTCGCTGATCAATTCCTCTCTTCATGGAGTGACCTTGCTGCAGATCTCTTTCTTCAGTGCTTCTATCTCTCGTGCTCGATTCACAAAGTCCGCAAAAGATGTAATTCTCGTGGAATCCGCTCACGTAGGTAGAACAAAAGTCCATACAGCATGTCCAGCTGCACGTTCTCTGTGGGTAGATCAAGCAATTCTGCAAGAAATGCTCTGTTCTTAGTGATAAAAAGATCCATCGGGATCTCGGTGTCTTGAACAGTTCAAAAGACTTTTATGTAGATCTGGGATGCAGGTCTTCGTGCGAAGGTAGCGCGGATCAATTCGATCACCTCTTACCAATTCTTCGCAGTGGATTCGACACCTTTCCACCATGTCGCTGCATGACCTTTCAGAAGTAACAGCAGACCACGGACAGCGTTGTCGTCCGAAATGTGCTCGCTGTCTTTGAAAATGGAGGTTGTTGAAATGAATGCAACGACTGAATGATAGTTTTGACGTCCGTATGATGGTACATCTCGCGAAGCTCCCGTCTACTATCGGCTGAGAGCAGTAGATAGTTTACAGGATTTAGATGGGATCCAGATAACTGGATAGATGCCGATGATAAACTTATCATCCTTCGGATGGGTAGCTCTGGACCTCAACGTTGGGTGTCATACTTGTAGCCATGATTTTCTCTCGTTAGGTTAAGTCGACGAAGTTCAAGGAATAAGGATTTCTGGAATACAGAATGTATTACAAGGGTTGTACAGGATATATATTATACGCAGAATAATTTTTTCTTTTTTGCAACATGACTACTTACTTAACTGTCTCTTTAACCAGGCCTCCAGGAGTAATTCCATTCTCTCCCGTTCGAATGGTATCCCGGTATTATCTCCGAACCTCCATATCGAACGGGCAACCGGGAATATCCCGTACTCTTCTGTATTTTACAGGAAGCGTCCAGGGGATATTCTGTCCTTCCTCGACCGACGGACCAAGAATGTTCGCCGAACTTTCCATGTTGTCCAGGAACAAGCGCCCGCACTCTCCCCCTATTCTCCTGGCAGTCGTCCAGAAAGGTTTCGTACTCTCCTGCCGGAATCTTTAACCTTTTACTATTCTCCAGGCGGACAGGTGTTTTCACCGAATTCTCCCACCAGAAGCTCTCTTTTAATCAACTATAACGCAGACGTATTTTCGTCGAACTCTCCTGCTGGAATTCCTTTTCTATCTACTCTCCGAAGAGACGTCCATTTTCGTGGAACTCTTCTACCGGAGTTTCTCTACTAGCTATTCTCCAAATAGGAGTCCAGGTATTGGTCGCCGAACTCTCCTGCCGGAGTCCCTAGGCTAATCCAAGAGCCGATTGTTACCTCGTGTTCTCTCTCAGACTGCCAAATAGGCTGGCTCCTGTCATGCGCCTCTGTTTTATATTCGCCGGTTGCTATACGTGGCCGCCGTTATCAATAAGTTCGTTGTTAAGTTCGCGCCTCGTGGCTTCACATAATGTGCTTTGTTCCTATGTTCTCGGTCCTATGTTTTCATACAATCCTATGTTCTCGTGTCGCGATTCAATTCGATTTTTCGGGAACTTTCACTATCTTAGAATTAAGGTGAAGTAGGGTAAGTTCGTAGACGGGACAAATGCGTATACAGGCTATTTTTATTACAATATGATCGAAATTTCTCCATTTAGTATGTTTGTTTCTTTGTTTTGTTTCACTATTTTGTTTTGTTTCACTATTTGTTTCTTTGTTTTGTTTCACTATATCCCCTTTTATATTTCAGCTAAGAGTACTTGTTTGCAGTATAAAGTACTTGCATAATGCAGTAAAAAGCATTTTATAGCAGATTTGTTAATCATTCTGCTCTTGCCCCATTGCACATGAAATAAAGTTTCAAAGTATTTTAACTTCAAGTTACGCTCATACTCCATTTTCGGGGAAAGTACAGAGTAGTTGACATTTTAAACAATTTCCTATCAAAATCAAAATGTACAAGGAAAATTAAGGTCCTAGTTAATATTAATTAAATAGTAGTAATTGTGCAAAGCGTTCGATATTGACAGCGTTAAGTATTTACATAGCAGACTGAAAATACTTACGTTTAAATACCAACTATACAAAAACCAGTTTGCACTTACCCCACTTCACCTTATTCGTTTCTTGTGTGCTACAAATCTAATTTTTAACTTGATATCTGATTTGCAGTTGAATACATCAATCTATTTATATGACAAATAGATTAATAGTGAATCGATACGATGACGATAAACATAATAGTTTATAATTACAGATTATAATACACCAGTTTACAATTATAGGTTATAATACATAAACACCATTACCCGTCTCTTATAACTGCAGTAGCATGTATATTATTTTCGCAGAAATAAATTCTTGAATTTAAAATAAAATAAATGTCACTTCTATCATGACATGTAAAGGACTTGACAAAGTTACATATTTCCATATGAAAACGTACGACTACAATTTCCAACAGAAGTACTTAACCTATAAATTGCAAGTTATGTATCGTCGAACATTTCAACAAATTATTTCCAGCATACCATATTTTAAACACTAGTATAATTGCAATGACAATCTTCATTTTTCCACTGTTTGATGAAATCACTGATAAATGTTGTCTCAGGGCACTTAATAGTTCAAATGTTTGCAATTACTAGCCGATACAAAATTATTATAACGCGGTAAACTTGTGTCTAGTATTGAGAGAACTATATATTTTTTTCTGAATCTTCTCTACGCAATTATAATTTAATAATGAACATTTAAATAAAGTTTCACATAGGTAGATGCAATTATGCACCCACGTTCATACATTGGGAATTGCTATTGTAAGTAGAATTAGTCTGAAGTTCGTACAGGGAAGAAACTTCGTCAAAAAATACGAGTAACAAATATCATAAAGAACAATATGAAAATCTTTTAAAAGTCTATGGTCAATCTTATTCTTCGCCGGCTGTAATTTGCGAACCATTTATTTCAATACAAACATTAATACATTAGTAAGCCCTCTTTTAAACAAAAGCTTTAGTCTTCATTTCAGCAGAATTATTATTTACGAAATGACTATGACCGTTAGAATGAGTTGTGTGTATCTATCTTACGTTAGTATCATCAAACATTATAGTACATTATTCCTAATTGAAGATAACACATAAATTTTCGTGAAAAGGGACGAGTTCCACGAACGAGGATCGCCAGGGATCCAGGTGGCAACTGTCAAGGATCGGAATTCTCTCATGAATCAGGACAGCAGGTTCGTAGCAATGGAAGCAATTGCCTGTCCAGAAACACGGAGGACAATTCCGTCCGTGAGAAACAAAACTCAACTTGTCCTTTCTCCAGACAACACGTAATACGTAGCAATTACATGGGTAAGAGCATCGAGGCTAAAAAGAAGGTAGGTGAACATTTCGAACGTGATATATTTCGCACCTTTCAACGATGTATGCCTATAATTTTTTCTACGACACTTTCATTACCACACTGTAGAAATTTTATTTGCACTGTTTAACATAGTAATTAAACGGTAACACGTTTGACTCTACGACGTTAAATGCACGGTTAATTTTAAAAATAAATAAATGCTGCTGCATTGACGTATACTAAGTTTATTTTAACAAAGTATGATAGAGTTTCCACTGATACAGAATTTTCTAATATGAATATATTTTATTTTTATGAGCATTTTACCAAATTTTCTGATATTAAATATCAAGTTTGAAACACTCATTTTGACTAATTGGTAATTTTAGTAATAATTAGTTCTTATTTTAAGAACCCAATAATGCCTGAATTAATTAATTGAATGAATAACTTGATCGAGTGTCATATTTAAATAAACGTATACTTGAGGTAAATAATTTTTAGCGTTTACATTCAGTCATATACGTGCTAAGAAAGGGAAAATTGAATATAAAGTATAATTGAACAAAAATTCGAAAGCTTGAATTGTTGAAGAAAATTATAAAATAATTTATTTTGAAAACATCGTCAAGATTAAGTTGATCTAAATTTAATTTCCGAAGAAATGGAGAATATGGCAACTGAAGATTTGAAATTATAAACAAATTGAAAACTTCATATCGTACACGAAAACGGTTGCTCCTATCAAAAAAACTCGCATGACCTATTTTATAGAAAATTTCCTGACTTACAAATTTTATAATAACTATTTTTGCTGTAAAATCAATACATACTGAGATATACGCGTTTGTCGTAATGTTTAGAAGATTTAAAATGAACGAATCTGTAAGGATTGAAAAGTTCGTATCGTACACGAAAACGGTTGCTCCTATCAAAAAAACTCGCATGACCTATTTTATAGAAAATTTCCTGACTTACAAATTTTATAATAACTATTTTTGCCGTAAAATCAATACATATTGAGATATACGCGTTTGTCGCAGTGTTTAGTACGTTGAAACCATATGCAATAATGCATCTTGCTGGAAATTGTTATGCAGGAACGTTCTATTTTGCTTGGATTATTGACGATTTCGAGCGCGATACAAAAGAGTTATTGGATATATAACGGGGTTGATCCACAGATACATTGTTAATGGTTATTTAAAAGTAGATTAAACCGGGTACGATTATATCGACTATTGGAAGGCAGTTTTTCACCTTTCCATATACGGCGCGATAATTCATCGTGCAGGTTATTTCGCTTGAAATTTTTTCACGCGAAATTGCTGACTGTTTCACTATGAAATTTAAAGGATTCGCGAAATTTGTATCTTCTCGTATAACATATTAAAAAGGATGCGCTTTCAAAAATTCGTTTTTTGTACTTCCCCAAAGAATATAATATTGCATTCACATAAAAATGTAGAAACGAAATGTATTGGAAAGGAAGAAAAGATAAAACGTTCTCTGGTAAAATTAAAAACTATACATCCTGCGTTTCACTCTTAGAAATATCAGCAATTTCATCTGCAATATATTTGAAGCAACGTTAAAGTATTTAGCCATATACAGGATGTCTCAGTATTCATTGCACAAGGAATAGTAATGAAACTCTATACGGAAAAATAAAAAATAATAAAGACATATATGATTTTATCTTCGGAAAATTGAATTTAAAGGCTCAAAATATTTTTCAATAATTTTGAATACAGCACACAATGCATTTGAATATTTCTACTGAATGTTGGAAATTAATAAACGTAATTATCAATAGCAGTAATTATCAATACCACTAAACAGTATTATTATTCTCCATAATATTGTCGATACGTTAATGTGTACCGTAATGAATTCACCTGGAACTATAATACACACGTACATAAACAACATTATAGAGGATACTGATCAATAACAATTCGGAGATATTCGTAATTACATTTAATAACTTATAACATCCTCTAACTGTTGAATGAACCAAAAGATTGTTACAATCTTTTTTTTCCAATATCATTTTTTGTTATGAAAATCTTCAAAAATTTTTCACTTTTATTTTCTCGGAAATAAAAATGGAAAATACGGTATCTTTTACTAGTTTCCCGCAGAGGGCAGTTTATGTAACTGCCTCAGGTTATAACTCTATTACCGATACCAAGGAAAAAAAATGGTTCAAAGAGTACCATAAAAATTCCTGTAACCAAGGTTTTTTTAGAAAAACAATTACAGTGCATTTAATAATTGCATTATTTTTTAAAATGAAAATACGTCACTTTTTAAACAAAGTTGAATTCATTTTACAATTTCACGTTAAAAAGTAGTGAGGTACAAAAAAATTGTTTATGAAATTTTTCTTTAAAATCATTCCTTTCTCGTGTGTCATCAATTCAGGAACATCGTGTATATTTTACACAAAAACATCTTGTTTTAATGTAAGACGACAAAGAAAATATAAAAAGAAAATGATTCAAAGAGTACCATAAAAATTCCTGTTACAAGTTTTCTTTTTAAAATAAAATTACACGTTTCTTTAATAATTATTTATAATTATTTTTATAATTTATAATTATTTTTAATAATTACTTATAATTATTTTTATAATTTATAATTATTTTTAATAATTATCATTATTTTCAAAAATGAAAATACATCACTTTCTAAACAAAGTTGAATTCATTTTACAATTTTGCATTAAAAATTAAGGTACAAAAAAGTTTATGAACGAAAATTCCTTTCTCGTGTGCCATCAATTCAGGAACATCTTTTATATTTTACACGAACACATCTTGTTTTTAATGTAGGACGATAGAAGCATTAATGAAACAATAGATGAAACGTTTGATGTGTATATTAATTTCAGGTAATCAGAATGCTATTTGTAATAGTGTTGGAGTTCTTCATCTGTTGGGCGCCACTACACGTGATCAATACGTGGTACCTTTTTGCTCCGCAACTGGTTTATTCTATAGTCGGGAGCACCGGAATTAGTTTGGTGCAGCTACTCGCCTATGTTTCCAGTTGCTGCAACCCTATTACCTATTGTTTCATGAACAGAAAGTTTCGACAAGCATTCCTCAGTCTCTTTGACTGTCACCGTTGCTGGAGGTAATTAAATTGACTTATCGTATTACTTGACTCTTGATCTCTCACACGTCCTTTAAACACCATTACAGGGATAGGGTAAAACTGGTGGTACAATCCGAAACAAGATGACTTTAGAAGTTAGTATAACTTCATACTTGTTATTTATAAAATCTGTTTATCACTCAACATTAGATTTATGAATCGTTTATTGCTTAATATTAGATTTAAGGACACTTTTTGCTGAATAATAGATTTAAGACACTCGTGGCTTAACACTAAAGTTAAGGGCATTTCTTGCTTAATGGCATTTCTTAAAAGGCTTAAAGGGCATTTCTTGCTAGATTTACAGACATTTATTGCTTTATACTAGATTTACAGACATTTATTGTTTAATACTAGATTTGCAGACATTTATTGCTCAACGTTGGATTTAAGAAAATAAACAAATTAATTAATAAGGAGTAACACGTAAGACAGCTTGCACAATCATTTTTTACCTCGAGAAAGTTTAATATACATTTTAATAGAATAACATTATTTACAAATTTAATTTAAAAGTTAATATAATACATTTTAACAGAATAACATTATTTACAAACTTAATTTAACAGTCAATATGCATTTAAACAGAATAATATTATTTACAAATTTAATTTTAATTTGAGTGCAATAACTCCTGTCATTTAAAACAAGATATCTAAAATCTGGGTTCTGTAAATCTGGTGTTAAAATTAGGAGAAACCTTGTTATCCTAATATCTTAAATATCAGTTCATATAACTCATTAGTCATCATCATATTACTCATCATATAACTCAGTTTCTGGAGTAGTTACTTTATTTTACACATATTTTTAAATTCGACAAAAATACATAATTTTATTTCATAACTTTTTACGATTTTTTTAGTGAACCATTATTACAATCAAATTTTTTTGACTTCTCTCCAAACTACCTATATAAATTACTTCTGCAAAAATTAATATTTTTAAACGTTGTATGCAAGGAAATATAACGCATGAAATAAATAAAAAACAGAAAGGGTAATGTCAGAAAACGTATGAAATTCGTATCAGGCATTCTCTTGCTACTTTGTGACATGTGCTCATGTATCACCGTAATAAAACACCACTTAGCTTCTATTGAACAACACTTAACCCTTTAGCTCAACTTCCAAGGGCTCAAATAGTACATAGAGAGTTACTCAGGGTGCACCATTTTGAATTCAACTTTAATCCAATAAATTCCACGAATCGAGAGGTACAGTTCCATCGAATTAGGAGCACGTACGAAAATATCATTTTATGGCTATAACATTCATATATGGAAAATTGTCTTGGGTCATGCAAATTGTTACTGAATACGTTGATAAGGATATACAGGGTGTCCGCGCCAAAGTGTTACACCTTAATATCTCATGAACTATTGATGTCACGAAAAAGTGCTTATATGGAAATTGCAGGGTAAAAGAGGCCCTATGTTTTGGCAGAAGCAAAATTTTTTTATTGTTATTAATGTAAAAGATATGATGATGAAGTTTCGTTTTTTTAAATGGAACTATATTTTTTTCTCGATCAGGTGATAGTGCTTTTCAAGACGAATTCATCAAGGTTTTATGTACTTACCCGATTTTTATTAGTTTTCGAGATATAACGCTTAGAAATTTACTGATTTTCAGCAGTGACATCTCGGTTTGACGAGTAAGTCATAAAAACGTTCTTATTGTTACGGTAAGTGCCGCTGGTTTGACTCTGCCTGCCGAAACAGATAGGCGGGGTGTATGGTCAAAATGGCAGGTCCGAAGAGTAAGAAACGTGAAAAGTATTGTCCATTACGGTTTAAGTTTTCCGTATCGAAGATGATATTAATAATTTTGAAGGTTGGGACATTTATTTAAATGTTTCAGTACAAGGTAGGTATAAAGACAATTTAACAATATAACTGACTTGAAAAATAGAATACACAATGCATGCGTAAATATCCCGTGCGAAATTATGGAAAACGTCGAGAACGAATTTGTAAAACGTATACAAACTTGTATTTCAAATAGCGGAAAGCA